CGGAGCGATCTGGCTCGAACAGTGCAGCAGAACAGTTGGCTCCGAAGCTCTCGCCGTGTTTCTTCATCATGCTGCAATTTGTTCGCGTCGTCGGGTCTCAGTGATAGGGGCGCGCCTCTGAGCAAGGCAGCGGAAGGGCAAGGGCGCGAGCCGATGAACGCACATGCGCGCTGGAAGTCTCGACGACGGCGCTGTTCGCAAAGGGCAGGGGCGGGGAAGGCATGGTTCTGGGGCTCCTCCAGGGCCTCTGCTCCGGCCGAGGCCGGCGCGTCTCCCCAAGACTCCGGCCGCAGCACCTCCAACTTGGCCTCAAGCGACCGAGCCTCTGGCCGGCGCCCACATGCTGTTCGTGGCACCGCACGCGCGCAGGAAGACGACGACGTCGACAACGAGAACGACGATAACAGCGACGACGACGACGGTGACGACGAGGCCCCCCCGCCCCAGCGACCACCATACACAGCTCAACGCCCTCTGGCGTGGTGAAGTCGACCTCCGGCGCGCGCGCGCGCGGCCGGGCGGCCCTGCGAGGGGGGGGGAGAGCCGAGCAGTCTCAGAGTGCCAAATCTTTCATCGGGAGCGGCCAAAATGGGGGTGTCCAAGAGGGGGGGTGCAAATCATGACCGGCGGCATGTGCGCGGCCCAGCGGGGGGGCCAGGGACGTAAAGAAATAAGAAGAGGCGCCATGAAATCTGGGGAAATATCATGGCCCACGCCATGATATCCACCCCCCCCTAGTCATCACCCCCCTCTTTTCCGCCCCCGATTTCAGGCGCGCGCTGACATGGATAACAGATCCGGGATCCGCCGACCTGGCGCGTTGGCACTAGACCCGCGCGTCGGGGAAGGCATCCCCCCGAAACAGGAAGCCAATGCCGCCCGATCTGGCAACGGAGCGCGCCGGTTCGGTATGTGGAAGCGGGCCCCGTCGCCAGTCCACGCGCCCGGATCCATGCTTGCGCCCCCTCGGCCCTCGGACCTCCACACTACTCTTCCCCGCCAGCTACTGGCGAGAAGGTTCCGGCCCCACTGCCCGGTGATCTGTTCGAGGATGTGACTCCAAGACAGCCGCGGCAACCACAGAGACGGCCGCGGAAACCGCCCACTCCCCGTAGCCGAGGCAGCCGGCGGGCCCGGAGGATGTGTCGGGCGAGTCGGCGGACAGTCCCAGAGCGCTCCAGGACGCTCCAGAGAGCGTTCCTGGAACGTCGGGCAACGATGTACCCTCATCCTAGGCGTGGCGGGGACTTCTCCTTGACCACCGCCTGTGGGATCGTCCTGGAAGCCCAGCGGGCGGTAGATGTACATGTGCGTGTTGTCATCATTATTATTATTAGTATTATTATTATGATTATTATTATTATTAGTATTATTCTTCTTCTTCTTCTTATTATTATTATTCTCAAAATGATTATTATTATTACTATTAATCATATAATTATTATATATATATATAGAGAGAGAGAGAGAGAGATTCTCTGACCGTCGCGGTACTAATCCAGGGGGCCCAAGAGGAAGCTTACAGGGTGCTTTTCGGAAGTAATTTTGATCCCTCTTGGGGGCTGTTTTGGCGTCTCTTGGGGCCTTCGTTTGAACTCTTGGGGAGCTGGGGCCTGTTTGGGGCCTTTGTGGGGGTCCTTGGTGCCTCTCGGGGTCCTTGGTGCCTCTCGGGGCCGTCTTGGGCACCTCTTGGGGCCGTCTTAAGGCTCTCTTGAGCCGTCGTGGGAGCCTCTTGAATGCCTCTTGGGCCGTCTTGGGGCGATCTGGGGGGCGTCTTGGGCAGTTGTTGATCCTGAAAATGTATGTATTACAACGGAAATTTGGCGATTTTGGCCTCTTGGTGCTCCCTTGGGAGGCCTCTTGGGGTGTCTCGGTGCCATAAAGGGGCATCTGGGATTGTCTTGGGGCTATCGCGGGCGGCTTCTAGCCCTCCTGGCCTAGCTTGGGGTCCTCTGGAAGCCATCAGGAGCCGTCTTGGGCCCTCCTGGCGCGCTTGGGACCCAGCGGTCCCCAGCGGGACGCAGGTCTGGCCGGATCAGTTTTCTATGTGTACAGGTACTCACTGTATTAGTATAGCGCTATATATAATGTGTATAGCCAAATAAATCCCACGGGGCCCGAATATAGCTGTATCCATCCCCTGCCGAGACCCCCGAAACTCGATCCCCTTAATTTGGCAGACGTCACGGAGAAGTCCAGGCCCTGGATCTCAAGCCTGCCAGAGCCATGAGCCGAGCTTGTTTGGCCGCCCGCTCGGCGGCCAGGCGGGGTCGCTAGCGCTGCGCGGGCCTCCTCTCGGCCGCGAGCGTGGCGCCGCTGCCGCTGCCGCGGCATGTTCTCCCCTTCGGTTGACCTCAAAGGGGGAACCAACTGAAAGAGGGGGTGCAATAGATTCGGGGCAATTGTATTGCAAATCTATTGCGTCAGAGAAATGTATTGCATCGTGCTGCAAGTAGTGTATTGCACGCGGAAATCCAGCAATACATTTGCGCCCGGGAAT